CTAATGGGTAACAGGTTGTTCCCAGGATTTAGTTATTATGAATTATGTTGCTATAAACCGTGGTATGCATGTATCTTTGTAGCAATATGTCATAAATTCTTTGGAGAAGATATCTAGAAGAGAGAGAGTGGGGTTATATGGAATTTGTAATTTCAGTTTTTTTGAGAAATCTATATACTGACTTATGTAATAGTTGTATTACTTAACATTCATCTCAAAAGTATATTAAAGGGTTGGAGATACAGCTCAGCAGCACTGTGCCTGCATGGCAAGTGCAAGATGCTGAGTTCAATTCCCAGTATAGAAAAAAAAACGTACTAAAGGCCACTGTGAACTATATAGTGAGAGATGCTGCCTCAAAAAAATGAAAATTAATTACTCAGCTTTTTAAAAAAAGAGTGCAGCAAAGAATATTGCTATACACCTACAAACATAGCATATTGGGACTATGAAGCATGGAAAAGTCAAAATTTCAAGGTCAAAATGAGCAACTCAGCAGGACTTTGTATCATTAGGCATCAAGATAAAATCAGAAGCATATTTTAAATGATCCTTGAAATTCAGGTAGTAACAGCACAACTTTACTGAGACAGAAGTAAAAATCATTAAATTAACACTATACAGGCAGATTACTATAATTCCAAAGTTTAACTAACTTCAGAAGTGCAAAGTATAGATTACTCATTCTAAGTCACTTAACAATATTCATGCACTAGGTGTTAGATAATTTTAGGCCATTTAAAAAATACAATAAATATTTCCAAACAGAATAGGCTTTATAAAACTTCTGTTAGAACATACGCAATCCATTTACTAAGTACAGATTTGTCTCAATTGTAATACCGAAAAATTTCAAGTTGTAGACAGTGAATAGATTTACAAATCCCATTTGTTTTCAATTTTCAGTGCAGGGTAGGAGAAGGGAATCCAGGGATTCAGATCCCTAAGCATGTGCTCTGCAACTAAATCACATTCAAGCTACCCACAAGAACATTTTTTTTTTCAGACAAGGTCTCACTATGTAGCACAGGCTCTCATTGGACTCACCAGGTAGCCCAGGCTGGCCTTGAATTCATGGTGATCATCCTGCCTCAGCCTCTTGAGTGCTGGGTTATAGGCATGCACCACCATACCTGGCCTGACCTATAAAAAGATATGCTCAGCTAGATAAAGTCTCCTGTATCTAATAAAAAGAGGCGATCAGAAGAGCCAGTCATGGTGGTGCATACCTGTAATTCCAGCACTTGGGAAACTGAGGCAAGAGCACTGCCATTAGTTCAAGGCCAGCCTGGGCTACATAGTGAGATCCATTCTATACATACATACATATGTACAAAGTCTCTGTAGAAATTTCATCAAGTTAGTGTGATCTAAAACCAGGCAACATGCTTACGAGAAAAGGCTGTAATGTTAACCTATGCATACAGACTCTTTTTTTGTCTTTTTGATATAAAGTTTCACTAAGTAGTTCAGGTTGTCCTTGAACACAATTTATAGCCCAGGATGACCTCAAACTCATAGTGATCCTCCTGCCTCAGCCTCCAGATTGCTGGGATTACAGGCATGTGCCACTGCACCCAGACTGCAGATTTTTAAAGGCAGTATAAACCATTAAAAAGTAAATTTCAGGGGCTGGGGATTTAGCTCAGCGGTATAAGCGCCTGCCTTGCAAGCAGGCAGTCATGAGTTCGATCCCTGGTAATGATAAAAATGATAAAGACCAAAAAAAAAAAAAAAAAGTAAATTTCAAAAGTTAATTAAACAACAGCATCACAGCTTGGCTGGAGGCTAAATCCCTGCATACCTGATGCCCTCAGTGCAATGTGAAGTACTACATACACACAAACACAAATGGATACGTACTTACACTTATAATACACATTCAGACAGCCACAATTCTATAAGTGACATTTGCATATTTTATTAAATGTTAGGGAGAGTCCAGCGTCAGTGGCTGTGAGTCACGGCACAAATCTGTAACCCCATGCTCACAAGGCTGAGGGAGGACGAGCACGTCAAATTAGAAACCAGCCTAGGTGACAAAATGAGTCCATGGCCAGTCTAAACTGCACAGCAAAACCCTGTCTCAAAAAGACACAAAAAAAGGGATAGCTCAGCATCAGAAACATAAATCAACAAAGCAAACTTCATATGATTATTTGACTCAGCATAAAAATGGTTTCTGAATCTTAGTTTCAATTAATTATTTCTTATAGGTCTCTAATAACGAGACAAAGGCATTAACAACTAGATAAAGCAGACATACCACAAAACTATCATAACTATCTCTAAATGGCAACAAAACAGAAATAAAACCAGCAAACGAAAGACAAAGCACTGCTTTGCGTGCATGTGTATGTGTGTGTGTGTGTGTGTGTGTGTGTGTGTGTGTGTGTGTAAACACTACTTGAAATGTATTCCAGTTCAGTTTCATGGGAGAACCCACTAATACAGCACTCAACACAGGGTACTACCTGATCAGGTTCATATTCTACAGAGAAGCACTTTACAAACTGGTAAAAGAATGAGGCTACACATTCTGCTTGAATCACCAAGCTCCGCAGAAAATATCCTGCTCAACACAGGCAGCTCAAACTATAGTGTATTGAACTGGCGCTGAACATACATAACTGAGCAAACATTGCTGGAGCCTCCCTCCTTCAAAACTCATAAACATACTTGCAATACAGTTTCTCTAATACAGTTTAATGTATTAGAGAAAAGGTATGAAATACACAGCTTATTTCATAGTAAAGTACCAAACACTTCATGTAGTTTATTGAATATGCTACACTGAAAATCACTGGATGCTTTTGCTTGTGTCCTGTCACTCAGCAGAACTCAGTGCTGCTGCCCAGCTTCTGAAGCAGGTACTGTACCACAGAGCAGAAGTGCCAACATTATAAAACTCAAAATGCAAGTAAATTTTACATCGAGTTCTTATCACCTTTTACTTTACTGTTCAGTGCTGGACTGAATTCGGGCCCTTGCACATTATACAAGTTACTTTAAACTGGACACACAGTCCCACTGATTGTACTTTATATCGAATCTGGGTCTTGCTGTATTATCCAGCCTGGCCTTGCTATTGCACTAATCCTATTTTCATGGTGCAGTTGGCTGAGATGACAGGGGGCAGCACCATGCCTCACTGAAGGTTTATTTAACCAAGCATAGTAATCCTGTGTTATAGTAGCCAGTGAGGAATCCCTAACACTTGCCTCTCATCTCAGCACTCTAGAAGGCTGAAACAAGATCAAAAGTTTTCTTCAGCCACGGCAATGTACTGAGATGTGTTCTCAAAAATTTAAAACCATTACAAGGTGTGGAGAATGCAGTTCAGAGAAAAACTCCTGTACGATAAAACATTCTGTACCATGAAACATCAACCACACTAAAAGTCTGTTGCATCCTGGAGAAATCTTATTCCATCAAACTTTGATGATGCTATTCACCAATTTTTAAGACAGACAAGTCAAACAGTTTCCTAATTTACATTTTTTCCTCAAAATTAAGAGGGACATGTGTACTGGCACACACCCCTAGATTCCATAGTGAGCATGCTGAGTCATAAAGATTGCCACATGTTGGAGGCTAACATGATCTGCACAAGAAGGGCAAGAGCAGTATGAATTACATAGGAGCACCCTAACGGAAACAAAACAAAACATACATTGACTAGGCAGCCTCATCAATGCTAGAAGACTTATCTATCTAAATTTTACTAAGTCTTCTTCCTTAACGCCATCATATTGGACTTATCCTCTGATTGTGGCAGCACACAGTTCTTAACTGTCACACTAGCAATCGGACCTCAAGGAAGACCTGTCTATAGTGGGTGTGGATTTCACCATCACCCTCCACTTCTCTCCCACTTTTGTTCTTTCCATTTGTTCCTCCCTGCAGACAACCCTCATATCACTAACCACACATATGGCGGCAGAGCTGAGCCTTTACTCTGCTACAATATTCCATTAATATACAGTCCACCTCAACCAGCATTGCAATTCCTAAACAGGGCAAAGGGCAAATTATCTGAGATGCTACCACTCTCCTTTCCACTCCTACCAAGACATGCCGAGTCTAATGATTCTCACCCTGTATGTGTAAGAGGTATCCTCCTCTGGAAGTTCTACTTAGCTGTACTTTCCCGGCCTTGCTAATACCGCTATATGCCTTCCACATCTTTCAGCATGCTGCACCATGTAGGAAGGAAGGCCCATTTATATGCGGTCCCTCTTGTTAGCAGAGGTGCCAAGTACATCTTTAAGATGATAACTGTTTTTGCAGTGCTGTGTATGCAACACGGGGGTTCATCACATGGCTGTCAAGCACTCCACCAAAGGAAGTCATCGCCAGCAATATTGAACATTATTTTCTGGGCTTTTGTTTGTGGTTTTGTCTTGTTGTTTGACTCAGGGTCTCACTATGTTGTCCTTGACTTCGTGCTGGAATTACAGGTGTGCACCACCACACCTGGTGAGCCTTCCTTTCAATTATTGTGGCATTACTCACTGTTTGTCTTGAGTTTGGCAATGGGGGCATATACTGGAATTTTGGCAGCTTATTCTCCTCACAGAGCAGGATCAGACTGAGGCGCTAAGGTGTGGCGCTGAGGACCTGTGTCCCACACATTCACGGACTGGAGGGCGCCCAGGTCTGCTGGAGGGGCGATGGGACAGGGATCCCGCACCCCACAGCCCCCCAGCTTGACTCCCCGCGGGAATCAAAATCAGCTCCACAGCAGGTGGAGATGCAGCTGAGGCTGCGGCTGCCGAGACTGCACTCCAGGCTGCGGGCGGCTGTGGAGAGATGGGTGCTGGATGCCCACAGTCAGCTGCCCGGGACGGGCTGGAGGGCACCGTGCAGGCGGGTACTATGGAGGAGGAACAGACTCCAGGCAGCGAGGAGTTCCGGGCGCCATTGCTGTCCCCCGCCTCCATCCACACCGCAGCCCGCGCTCCGCCCTGCCCACAGCTGGCGCCATCCCACAACGTCACCATTGCGTGGCAGGAGGTTCCCGGGATTCCCACGCAGCCTGCAGCGGCCGGAAATCGCACAGCCAGGGGGTACTCAGCAGGGCGTTTCTCAGCACTGCGCTCAGGATCTGGACTCTGGAGCCCGGAAACACGGCTGTCCACCCTCGGGCCACTTGATTGGACAGGTCAGGCAGGGCGCCCCTCAACGCTGATTGGCTCCTGCTCCAGCGCCCACCCTCTGGAGCTGAGAGTGACAACTGAAGCCAGTACCCACAATATTTTCCATTCATTAAAAGTAGGAAAATAGCAGACGTGTAGGTCATAAACACGTTCTGCAGAAAGATTTTGGCCTGAGGAAACCAAGAGGAAAAAGGGACAAAAAAGGAAAAATTAAAATATCCCCTACAGAGTAGATTGGACTACCCTGAAGAAGTATGATAGTAACTTCTTAATTATGATGGGGTTTTTTTGTATTTCCACACTTGCATCACATCCATTCTTACTTGTCAAAAACCTACTTTGTTTTTGTGAAAGGTTCACAGGCAAACTGAGAATTGTTGTGAGACTGAGTCCTGGGACCTTGTCCTGCTTCATTCCCCAGATAGCTTTATCTGCACTGTACACTGCTCCCTCAGGAATGTCTGAGTTCCTATTGTAACTAGCATTGCAAATGGGAACTATACAACTTAGAATTTTTTCCCTTTGGGGTCAGATTTCTTTCAGACTTCTTCAGACCTAGGACCTAATTGACCGGAGCCGCGGAAGACAGGAGGCCAAACTCGAGCAGGATCAGCTCTCAAACTTTATTACGTACAGCGAACCGGACCTAACAAGGTCCGCCACCCTCAACGTTGATTCCTCTTCCGCCCGTTGGGGGCAGGAACAACCTCTTATAAGGGGAAGCAGTATCCAATCACAGAGAAGCGCGCCTAACAAGCTGATAGGCTAGCGTCACGGGTAACTGGGCAGATATGACAATTTGGCGGGCTTGTTCAGGCCGGGAAGAACCCGGAAGCAGGAAATGGGCGCCATCATAGGCGGCTTCCCACATCTCCCCCTTTTTTATTTATTAAAATAGGATGGTCTGTGGGTCCCTCCAAGGTGTCTATGACCTTGTTGCTGTTAGACACCTAGGAGTGGGCCTACCTTGTAGGCCGAGGCATGAGAGAATGTAGAGGTCTATACCCTGTTGTGCATCACCCTGTTTTGTGCATATCCTTGCGCCAGGACCATGCTCAAGGTGAGTGGTTCATTTTTTCGCAGGGCCAGGCTTTTGTGAACCGAACCTGGATGCATATAGACATTCATTCCTGCCTTCCCCCCAACCTTTGGGGCGGATGGCACTGCAGTACCCTTGGTTTCGCATCTCAATGCCAATAATTTGACTCCGGGAGGGACCCCTGGCCTTATAGGCCATGTATATCTGAGTGGAGCCTGTCTTAGGTTGACCGGGAGGGCTTTTCCCGTCTTACCCGTCATTGGCTTGCCCACTCAGCTCTTATAGCTGATGTTCTGCAATGTGAAGGAGATATGCGGCAGCCTGCTGGCCTGATGGGCCACCTGCTGCCATTTGCATGGCTGCCATGGCTGTGATCTTAACCTGCTGCTGAGCTTGTATGAGGCGATCTAACAAGCATTTAATAACAACAAGCCCCACTAGGATGGGCATGGCAATTAGGATCCAAAAAGAGGTAATCGTGGGACAGAAGGAAGAGAAATGGAGGGTCGACTGGAGTTAAGCGGGTGGGTCATAATCAAGGACTGTTTGATTGATGGTGTAAACCCTGGGTGAGGCGGGCGAGGCCACCGAAAAAGGTGCCAATGTAGGCGGGTGGTGCCAAGGACCCCAAAGATATTGTGGTGGTTCTGTGGAATCTGAGCATATCACAGGGGTGATTAATAGGAACCCACAGAATAGAAAAAACTCCAAACCAGACATTTTAGTTTGTAGATGGTCTCGGGCGCTGAGCGTCAGTCCCAGAAGGGTCGAGTTGACTTGTGTCCGCGGGCTTATCCTCCTGTGCTTTATCAGGAACTGGTGGGGAGTTTACTGCTCGCATCAATCTTTCCGGGACCCACAGCGGTTCGCAGCCTGGTTCCTGTGGGAAGACACAAACCGCACCTCGGGTCCAGCTAATCACTGGATCCGGGCCCATCCATTGTCCTGTAAGGACATCTTTCCATCTAACCAGCCCTTTGTCGGTTGGGGACGGATTGCTATGTTCCATGGCAGGGGAATGATTATGGTAAAGAGTGCCAATGATATTCTCCCTTTGGGCATTAGGGCGTGGCCTATCCCCTCTTTTTGCTTTTGTAAGACACCCTTGAGTGTCCGATGTGCCCGTTTAATGATGCCTTGTCCTTGAGGGTACAAAAGTTTTGCTGGTGTAAGCAGGACCATTGTCTGTTTTTAATATATTGGGCTTTCCCCAAGCAGCCCAGGCTGCAAGACAATGATTAATAGCATGGGTGGCCCTTTCTCCAGGTTCTGCCGAAGCAAACATAACCTGAGAAGCGGTGTAACCAGGGCGGTGCCATAGGTTGTGGTGGCAGCCCAGGGAGCAACTCCTCTTCCAGCCACGGCGGTGCAGTGGGGCCTGGCGCCCTGAAAGGGGCGATCGTGGGTCGCGAACTTGCCAAAGGGCGGAAGGGCTTAAGCTCCTCCCGTAAGGTGGAGTAGCTCGGGCAGGGTGGTGTTATCTTTCCGAGCCCTAAGTTCCTCTTTTAACGGTGTAGGAGGGTCATGCTTAGCAAAGACGACCTCCTCTTCTGAGCCTTCCGAATCCGAATCAGAATTAGAGCCCTGAGGGTCCTCCGGAGACCCACAATCGGCAGTGGCTCCGGGCTCCTCTGAGCATTCCGATCGAGCTCAAAAGCCTGTCGGGCTGTATTAGCGAAGCGAAAGCAAAACAGATGCAAAGGGAAAAGAAAAGAAAAAAAAAAAACCCAGCGTCCACTCATGTGGCACTCAAAATCTGTTAGGTGCGTCCACCCAACCCAGGTGACCCAGTACTCACCTGTCCCGGGAACCGCTGTATCTCACGTAGCTGATCAGGGTGAAGAGAAGAGGCGCTCGCGGCCTTCCGTTGTTATTGGGCCAGGTCCTCCGTCGTACCGCAGGTGACAGCAATCGCACCTCCCGGCCGAAGAGGCACGTCGCTGAGTCTTTTACCTTTTTCCCCGTACGGGGGCCACCAGATGACCGGAGCTGCGGAAGACAGGAGGCCAAACTCGAGCAGGATCAGCTCTCAAACTTTATTACGTACAGCGAACCGGACCTAACAAGGTCCGCCACCCTCAACGTTGATTCCTCTTCCGCCCGTTGGGGGCAGGAACAACCTCTTATAAGGGGAAGCAGTATCCAATCACAGAGAAGCGCGCCTAACAAGCTGATAGGCTAGCGTCACGGGTAACTGGGCAGATATGACAATTTGGCGGGCTTGTTCAGGCCGGGAAGAACCCGGAAGCAGGAAATGGGCACCATCATAGGCGGCTTCCCACACCTAATGGCTCCCCAACTTCTCCAACTAGAGCAATGGACAGAATATACAAATCTTGGCAGCAGAATATCCAGTCCAATTTCGTTCACTAAGTCATGGATAGAGGATGTCAATGTCCATGAAGGGTGAAACTAGCATGAAAGTATCATTCTTTTGGTTGTTTCAAAGATCTGGCTATTACAAATTGTGCTGCTATAAACTTGGGTGCACATATATCACTGTGGTATGATGTTTTCAGTTCCTCTGTGAATATGCTTAGAAGTGGAATAGCTGGGTCAAATGGGACTTCCAATCCCAACTTTTTGAGGAACTTCCAGACTGATTTCCACAGTGGTTGCATGAGTCTACACTCCCACCAACAGTGCAGGAGAGTTCCTTTTTCCCCACAGCCTCTCCATCCTTTGTTATTGGTGGTTTTTTTGATCCTAGCCATTCTTTCTGGAGTGAAATAGAATCTCAGTGGGGTTCAAATTTGCATTTCTCTAATGACCAATGATGTTGAAAATGTTTTCATGTATTTATTTGCCATTTTATTTCTTCAGCTGAAAAGTGTGCATTCATCTCAGATACCCAGAATTGGATTGGGTCTTTGAATTTTGGGGGCCTAATATTTTTAAATTCTTATGTGTTGTAGATAGATGTCCTTTGTCTGAGGGACAGTTAAGTTTTTTTTTCCCCCCCAATTCATGGGTTTTGTTTTCACTCTGTTGAAGATTTCATTTGACATGCAAAAACTTCTTTTTCTCATACTACAAACACAATGTTTTTAATTCTAGAGACAATGTGAACAGCAGCTCTCCTATGGTTTTAATATTTTTTTTAGAAGCAACACAGAATTTCAAGAGAAAAAACATACAGTAAGAGTTCACCAGTTAATACATCACACATTGTCAACTTACAAACAGCTGTCCAGATTACAAAATTAAAGCATACAAAGTGGAGATTAATACAGTGAGATTGCAGTCAGTTCTGTTCAATGATCCAAGAAAAACTCAGCAATATGGTTCTCTTTCCTACACATTTAAATAAACTTGCAGTTATATCCTTGAGATCACTTTCCTTCCTCTCTTTTTTACACTAACAATCGCGCATTTTAGTTTCCATTACTTCCACAGTTTTTTTTTAACTTTTTCTTTGAAGAGGAAAAGAAAAAAAGATTGAAAAAAAGGCCAAAAAACAAAAAACAAAACAAGACGTACCAAAGAAAGACCCAATGTGACAAAGCAAACAGGGTCATTTAGATCAGGAGGATGGACATAGCATAAAATGAAAAAAAAGAGGGGGGGATTACTAGGTGATCAATAATGGTTACTATTATGCCTCTTGTTATCCTAAAAAGAGTCGCCTATATCAGCTAGTATAAAAGAATTGAACAAAACTGTACATAAGACCAATAAACCACATTGGACAGCTTACAGGATTCCAAAGAAGGTAATAGTCAAATAATAACGGGCATCATAGAATATCTGGTTGCCTTCCAAATGGTTGCCTATACCTTCAAACTTGATACTATTAAGTGAAATAGAATATAATAAAATCAGTCAGAACAAGATATGGAGAACACTACAGGGGTTCAAATCAGGTTAATAGGGAAACAAAAAATTACTATAATCTATCGCACATTTTTAATTTAGTTTTCCCTTAGTTAAAAGATACTA